AGTGTATCGTAAAGTTGTATTCGGAAAGAATAACCCAGTTTTATTAAGTAAGGACTTGTGTCGCTAAAATTTCGTCGGAACGAAGTTACGGAAAGTTAATTAACAAACGGAGACGTAACAATATAATGTTTTCAAAAGCATATTAAATCTTTGGATCAATTTTGATTGCAATTAGCAATATATAAAATTTATAGCCGTGATAAATTTTTTGCCCCTCACAAGCTTCGAATAATAACTAGTAGTGAGAAAAATAGAAAATAGCGTAACTATAACTATTACCTCTGAACCCTTCGATTTACTGCTAACTCCCCCTCCCCCTTAATCATGCGTAAAATAATGTGTTGATTTTCATTCTAATCGAACAATTTTTTATATGTGTTTTATAGGAAATGTACATGATATTTATTGATGTTGTTGTATCAAATGTAAGTATTTGTCATGGAAACGATAGTGATGAAACTTCCTAGAACAGAATAAACGTTTACTTACATAATGACAGTCACTGGATTTAAGAGAACAATTTAGACAGAAAAAAAAATTAAAAAGTTGTTCATTGAAAATATTGTTATTATGATTTATTGAAATAACCAGATGTTATAGACAAAAAAACAAAAAAAAAATTGAAACATAAGCATTATTAAGACCAAACTGAATTCACACTTCTGGGATTTTATTTTCCTCGATATGGCTTTTCATGGAACAGAAAATCCCTACCGATTTTTTAGTGCATATACTATATATTATTTTGGATATGTACTTATACGTTGTAAAATTATAATGCTGGCCAACAGAAGCTAAAAGATTTATTTCCCCGAATGGTGGCCGAAGGCCGCCAGGAAGGATCACCTGTTTTAACCATACGCACAACTACACAGTAGTGTGTTGTCTGTCAGTCAGTCAGTAGACGTTGGATTTTGTACTGTCGTGACGTCACTAAAACGTGCGCATGCCATGAATCACGAGAAGAATTATGCACTCTGCAGGCTACAAAACAGCGTGACATATGAACTTCAAAAGCAAGAAATAAAAATATTTATTACTGTTAATTTTGGATTTATTTACTCTTGAAACAGAACATTTTTGTGGACCCTGCGGAAATACATCTAGTTACACAATTCAAATATAGACAAACGAGGGATTGACAACAAAACATTTATATCTCGGACAAACAACAATGTGGATTAAGATTAACAAAATCTACACATAACGTCAGGACAAAGCTTCGCTTATTGCTGTAGGATGCAATATTTAAAGTAATAAAAAGACTTTGCTGGCAAGTTTTTTTTTTTTTTGTAATTAAGCACAAAGCTACACAATGGGCTATCTGTGCTCTGCCCACCACAGGTATCGAAACCCGAATTCTAGCGTTGTAAGTCCGCAGACATGCCGCTGTGCCACTGGGGGGCTGCTGGCAAGTTAATGCAACCATAAGCTTACCACTTCAGTTACTTATTACCTGTTATCTTTAGTGGTTCTGAGCTATGGAACAGGAAATACAAGTGTGTAGTACAACACCCTTTGATGGCAATTGAGCAAAACCACAACTTGCTCACCATTATGAATTATCAACGCTAAGCTAAACATGGTCATGAGATGACTCATATAAAACTTTATACAGAGAGAGCTACAGTGCAGGACTATCTGTACAAACCGTCTGTTGCAGCATCTTCCAATTACCATCCCTAACCTGAACTGTAAATTTCAAGACACATATGTACTGTACCATAACACCTCCATGTTTGATAAGAAAAAAAAAAAAAAGAAGTTCCACATACGTGTGTTATTTATTACATCACGTGACCAACCACTTAAAAACATCTTGTTCTAAGGATATAACTCCCCCCCCCCCTGGCAATTTCTTTTCAGGCACATTGTGCTACTATATTAAGAGTAAAAAAGCGACATTTTTAGGCACAATGAAAGATAAAATCTTTATTAGATATTTCAGCCGACTAGTTTCAATAGTCACTAACCCTGTTGATGGTAATCTTGTTACAAAAACTAGTCGGCTGAAATATCTAATAAAGATCTTATCTATCATTAGGCCAAAAAACGTTGGTTTTGCCTTTTATTCTTACCAACAGTTTGTAATTTTATTTGTAAAACATAGGTGGCAACCACTCACAGTTAAGAACGCCGATTTAATGACGAATTTATTCATCGTCTGCAATTATTAAAGCACATAAAATTTATTTTCGCATTTAAATGACGAAATAATTGTAAAGGCTTTTACCATTTTGTATTGTTTGAAAAACGTTTGGGAAGGGGGATCACTTCTTGCGTAACAGTTGCCGTTTCATTTAAATTGAAAAACTTCTAATAAATAATTTACCACATATATCTTTTGTTCTGATTAAAGGGATATTAAGAAAACATTCCCTTACCTTGGTTAAATATAATTTTAATTGAATCTGAGATATACAAAGGTTAAAGATTAAGGTTATGAGTAAGCAAGCCAACAGAAATTTGATGTTTAATTTTCCATCTGGGAAAATCACTTGCTGTGCTACGTAATCTAACAAGAAAAGAAGCCAGAAAATACTGGACTTTATCCAGTTATTTGAACAAGGAAAAAAACCTAACTTTCAAAACACTTCTACCAAATTTCTTTGTTATTAAAATATTTTACAGAGTATTACAATAAAGCGAAATATTTACGGCAAAAAAATAATAATTATTGAGTTTTCATAAATACGTTGTAAAGTACACGTATTTAAGACTACTTAAATAAATAATTTATCATAATAAGCTCTCTCCGTTCAAACAAGCTGGCAAAGAAAAACACTCCATGATCAACAACCCCTCAACATAATAATTTGGCACGTGGTATGTGATATGAGCGCCCTCTAGCGTAACTTGTTTTGAAATCAAAGCGTCAAGTGGTACCCACAGCAGATCACATGATACCAGTTGAAGGTAGCCAATGAACTTGTCAATTAGTGGTCCTCAAATTAAGCCTGGAGTGAAAATTACGCTTACACGGGAAAGTATGCGAGTAATTACAAAATCTTCGTTCCACAACATTTTTTAATTCTTTATAATAAGTTGAATGGCTACGTGTTCACGTTAGCGGCTCAAAAACCTCTCCTTCACAACCAGTTCACGTTAATTTTGAATCTAGCTTACCTATAATATTTATTTTGTTTTTAGTTTAAAGTTATATTCTATAGTTCTTTTTTTTGTGGAATAGTAAAAAATATCGAACATTATAAAATCTTATCATTACTAAAAGTTAATTGGAAATCAACACTCAGACTGTTATTTTCTACGTAAATTATACGAACGTAAAACTTGTACCTTTAATAAAATATAATAAAATTGTGTTTTACCAGGATGTGTAGGAGCCAATTTCTTCATTAGGAGACCAGAAGTACAGCAAACACAGTCCTGTTTAAACTTAAATGAGCAAATTAATGTTTTTGTTGTTGTGGCAACACAAGATACTATTATAAATAAATTGAGTCAATTCCTTTTGCCAGTCTATAGTTAATATTGTTATTTTAGGCTTAGCACTCACACGCGATGTGATGAAACTTCACACGTGCGGTTTCAATAACTGGGGGAAAAACGAAACACTCATGTCCGACCACTACGAGATCAGGTTCACATTTCGCGTCAGAGATAGATACGAAAGGGTCTTGCTACCCTACAGATGTTCCCTGCCCTGTGACGGATGGCTTCAACTGAGGGACAGACTTGACTGACAATAGCGATGGCCAATTGGGGATTGCCGGGGCGTAGCAAACTCACCTCCTTTGAGCAATCACTGTTCTTCAGTGCTAGGCTGAGTAATAAATCGATGTTAATAATCCTCACCGCCACCGCATGGTGATTTCAGTCAGAAGTAGCTGGCTTTATTGGTAGATAATCACAGTTTTGAAAGCTGGTAGTTTCTCATATTGGATTCATCATGCTCAGATGATTCGTAATACTGGTTTACGTTTAATGGTGTTTTGCCTTTCATAAATTCGCATTAAATGTTTAGAGAAACGAGTTCGATTTTTGTTATATTTACTTACAAGAGTATTAAATTCAGTTATTGAATAGCTAGCTCTGTTGCTTGAGAACTAGTGCTAACAACCTAGAGTTATTACTTCAGGGGGAGGGGGGGAAGTCTGGCCTCGAGAAATTGGGGGAGGGGGGAAGTAATGATGAGTACACTAAGCCAACTCAACGCGGTTACAGAGACGTCACCTCAAGCGCGGACACAACACCGTTCTTTTGACGAGAGCTCGGTACGGAAGACATTCGGGACTTACCCATTTTCGCGAGGAAGGTAGTGAATGCGGTGACAAATTAGCCAAGTGACAGTCGATCGAAGGAAAGACTGTTCAACCCACCCAAGTTCGTGTAGTTGCCAATGGATAAATAGGCTTATTTATTACACAAGCCATGAAACTTGTAGCTGATAGCCGTTGATTCTCACTATTGTTAAACCAAAGCTGGTTAAAATTAAACAAAGAGTTGAATTCTCGTGCAGCTTTCGTGTTCGGATATTGTTTTTACATTTAATGAAAATTACGTTACTAAAACAAAAGTAAGAGTATTTATAATAAGTATTCGAGTATCGGCAGTCTTGCAACTAGATCTTTAATAGAATATAATATTTTATTTATATAGATTAATCAGTCTCAATGTTTCTCTTCAACGCGTTCATATACTGCAACCAAACCCAGAATAAGCTTGTTATAATTGTTTTGTTTGTTTTAAGTTATGCACAAAGCTACACAATAGGTTATCTGTGCTCTGCCCACCACGGGTATCGAAACCCGATTTCTAGCGTTGTAAGTCCGCAGACATGCCGCTGTGCCACTGGGGGGCGCTTGTTATAAGGATTTGAAATAATTATAAATATATATATATAACAAAGACCTTATTTCAATGAACGATGATAACTATGTATCAGTTTTTCTAAAATAAGTTTTTGTTAATATCCCTAAAATATTACATATTACGTACCAAATATTCGTACAAAAAGAAATTCATTAGTACAATTATTACATGTTATTTTGTTATCTCCCTTTAATAAGCTAATATATATTTATTTCTCCCTTATATGTGAAAAACAGCTTATATATAATAATAAGCTTATATACGTGTGTGTATATATATATTATATATATATATATATATATATATATA